CTTCGTCATGCCTAGAGCTGATCCGTGCTGGTTGCTGAGGAAATACATAAACTTCGCGCTGTGGATCGCCGGATCGGCTTTCACCGTGGACAAAGTGGAGTCCGCGCCGTTCTCAAGGCCGCCGGCCTCTGCTCACTCAAGCCCGTGTGTGACGCTGTGTGACGCATTTTATGGAAGACTGTTTCCTGAACCTGCAAAGTAGCATACAATGGGTCTGTGCACAAAGGCTGTTTCTATAAAGTGGGGCAGTTCCAACTTTGCAAGGACAGTCTGGCGCTTCTGACCGTTTCAGAAAGGCGGGGCATAGAGGAGCAACAATAATGTACATTATGTGGACAATAATGTGTTTTTTAAACCTTAAACTGCATAAACACATTACATTACACCAAATACACAACATAATGTTCTTTTTAGCAACGTCATATGACCCCTTTAATAATGTGCTCACACACCACAGATCCCTGTCAGACTCAGACACACTCCAAAAAAAGGAAAAAAAGAAACAAAACTGACCAATCCAAATAGTCTAAGCTCTAAGCTTTTTAGGCCACGTTGTGTGTTGTCCTGCAATCATCTGAGGCAAAAGTGTGGCTGTGTTTGTATTGATGGTCTAAGCCAGTCTATAACAGTATTTGCTCTTCATTTAGCCACAGAAAATAAAGAAATAAATAGAAAAAAAAAAAGACAGACATGCACACCATGGTACCAAATCTTACACAAGGGGGTCATCTATGACAATACAGTACTAAAAATAAAGCATATACTAAAATAAATAAATAAATTTAAATTAAAGTAATATTAAATAATAAATTATATTTATTATAGAATATCTATATATCTATCTATAGTAATAATAATAATGATGTTACTGTTATTTCAATGATTACTACTATTATTAAAACTACTAATAAATTATTGCACATCCAATGGCATATTATTAATATACTACTACTACTAATAATAATAAATAAAGCAACAAAAAGAATGATAATTTTCATCATACTAAAAAAACAATAACCACTGAATATTTCTAATATTATATATATAGCTCAAACTGATCTCTACTTCACACTTCAATATTTAAGACTAATTTTTAATAGTTTAGAATACAAAAATTCTAATATTCATCAGTGTTCTTCTCTCAGCTAGAGATTATTTCAAGATACTTCATCACATGAATGATAATAGCTCCAGAAATGCCTGTTCAATGGCCTGCATTACATTGTCTTCTGACAAACACATTACACTCGGTGCTAATAGATCACAGCGCCTGACGTCTCTGATCCAAAAGAATCTATTTAAAGCTAATATCACAGATGATCTTCCATCCTCCGTCATTTTCATTTCAAGAGGCATGGGCATTGTAACACTGGACATGAAAGCAAGCTGCTTTCAATTAGCTGGCAGATTAGCACAAAATATGCTTGACGGTGTCACGGGGAAAAATCCACCACAGCGAGCCGCACGACTCCCACTTTGCTTCCAGTGTTTACACGGGGCTGATGAGGGAATAAAGTAAAACGTCTCTCCCAGATGAGATCACTCTGATCAAACTTCTTTTCACTTCTCCTTATTACAGTCCCGATGTATGGAATGTGCTCATTGGTGCGGATACCGAGGGTGGCTGGAGTTTTTAGGACCGCTGCCAGGTCTTTATCAAATAGCTGATGAAAATGAACTTCGAAATCCAATTAGCCCAAACCTTTTTGGCAGCCACGACCCAAATAATGACAGACTGCAGGCCCGCTGTGAGAATATAAACCAACATGAGTACACATGACATAAAGACATGTAAAAAAAAAAAAAGGCCGCCGAATTGTTATTTCTCCACTGGGTTACCTTTGAAGCACAGTTTAAATAAATAAGACCATTAAAATAGCCGGGTAGTGATGAATTTGAGAGCGAATAAAGGACCCAACTCCATAATCAACAAGCTGGAGTTTCCAGGCCCCTCTCTGGCGGCCCCAGGCCAACAGGAAGTGGCGAGGACGTGCGTGGACGGCAACCAGAGCCAATTAAAAAACAGGGAGTGCTGAGCATGTTGTAGCTAACGAGCTCCTTTCCTTGACCTCGCTCACCTTTTGACCCCACAGTGCCCCTTCCCCTTCCCGTGCGACCACAAGGTCTACAAACACATGCTTTGGTTTCGGAAACCTGACCACATTCCCTTTTTGTCTCTCTGTAGGCCGATGGCGACGTTCCACTGAGCTAAAACACACCCACCACAAGTAAAACGAGTCTGTAATTTATTGGGTTAATTCTATCGCCACTTGCCGTAATGGGGCCGCAAAAGTTGTTTCCAAGAACTCGGGACAATAAATTGCCTCCAAATTAATTGGGAGAATTTATGAAGCCATGGGATGCACCGCGACCCAGCCAATATAATTAAGTGTGGCCAGAAGTAATAAGGCTCGGCTTTAGGGCGTAACTGGAGCTTTAGTAAAGTGATGTCAATAAAAAGTGAATAATTAAAGAAAAAACACACACACCTGAAATGAGCCTGGCTAAACCCTCAACCCTAATGAAACAACAAAAGACCGAGCCAGCGATCGTCTCCCTCTGCCCACTAAAGTGGTCCTGTCATTGGGGCTCTCCAAACATGGACCATATTTGAGTTCAGTGCTGGCAATCAGACTCCATTATGAAGCAGGCGGCTGAGTTCATCAGGAAAAAATTAGCCCGCCACTCAGTCGAGCTCTCCCATTGGCCGGTCACGCGGAGCGCTGCGTTTGAGGGCACCCCAGACATTCCTGTGGATAATCTTTTCCATTCCTCTGCTCGCTGCAGCAAGAAGAGCCCAGATCGCAGCACAAGGACGGCATTGTGAGGCCCCCTCCGCAGCCGTTTTTTAAGTGCTCCCTCTTGCGCACTTCATTCGAGCGCGTTTCTTTAAAAAATAATATTAATAAAAAACTGAGTGCCTTTGAAACAAAGTTGGAACTGAAAGACGACGCCGTGTTTCTCACGGCCCCTTTCCAGTAAGACTATGTTTTGTAAAAAACCCTAAAACAATGTAAAAACCACTGGAAGCCGAAGTGCTGCCACATCAGGGATTCAAATCTCCCCGGGTGACGTTCGTTCTCCTGCTTCGTTCGCCAACGAACCCATGTCATCCTCCTCGCTCTAATGTGTGATTTTGGTCACCATGGTACAAGCAACAAGCTAAGACTGGATCCTCGCGCTCTGAAGAGATTTACGGAAACACGTTCCCTAATTAGAAACACGGCTATTACTACTTCTATAAACGAGCAACGGGCTAGCCACCACAACAGACCGCAGGGTTTCCACAGTAACCGTGAACAGACTGCTGAGCACCACGCAGGGTTTTAAAGACTGGTTCTCCACAAGCTCTATTATGGGCTTTGGAAAAGACAATATGTAGACAGAAATCATTTTTATAGGCAACCCCAATTGTGTTGCCAAAGCTCTCTGGAGCGTCTTAAGACCACCACGCCAGCTTGCGGAAATATTTAACAGTTTTACAAACAGAACGACTTCTGAGCGAATGGCTCCAAGTAAAGCAACTACGCCGAAGAATCCTCTCTGTATACGATCTATAAAAGTAGCCCTTTGTTGTGAGTGATATGTGCGGACTGTCTGTAGTAGCTATTGAAAGATGCATGCCATGACTTTCAGGGTTGAGAAGTATAAAACATGCATTCAAACACATGGGTACGTGAGGGATAAAAGAACCTTAAACTTGTGCTTCTAAGCAAATATTTAACCCTATGGGACTTTTGTAAAAATGGATTTAATAAAATACGTCAAGATGTGACTGTCAAAACCAATCCTTCTTAAAAAACAAAAATTAAAGAGATGAATCGAAATGGTATTTACTTTTAATGGCATATGGATGAGGTCTCCCACAAAGCACCTGGCACATGTGTGGGGCCACTTTTATAAATATACAGCAGTGGTTCTCATCTGGTTTTGGAAAAGGGTTGAATATATGTTCTGATGGGGAAAAAAGCGATGCTAAATGCAACTAATTAAATGCAAGCAGCCAGTCATATAATTGTGCATATATAGAATAGCAATATGGCTTATCAATTTTAAAAGTAAACATTTTACGTGTTGATGATGTTAAAGGTCATTTGTCCAATCAAACTAAAATATTTAGCTGCAAATTGATTAGTCAGTTAGCTGAACTCAGTTGCATTATATACAGGTTGCTTGTCATGTCCTTATCCAAAACTGTCAAATTAATTAATTTCAGTGTTTTAATGTGAGGACATTTGCATTTGTACGATGAACAATGTTTGGTCATTACTTGATCAAATCTAGACAAGAAACCAGATGAGAACCGCTGTCCTACTTGTAAACTTCTGCACTGAATTGATTTTTGTGAGCCTCTTGGATTGATTCTTTAAAAAGAACCAGTTCATAAGAATCATTTGATCACAAACTAAACATGCTTATATGCTTGCAAAGACAAGGCAAAAAAAGACATGTAACAAAACATGTTTACACACAAGCCAACAGCGATCCATTCCCCACATACCACAGGGTCACAGCTGGAATGTGCCGTAACGCTGCCCCATAAGGATCCCTCAGAGGAGGCCAGTTGCTAACATGTCCATCAGCCCTTTAAACTAGCATAACAAACTGTAAATCACACACTGTAAGACCAAAACATATGAAGGGGACCAGACACTAATTCAGATTAGAGGGTGTGTTTGTATGTGCACACAAGATGTGTCTTGTTTCTTGCAAACGCAGACATATTACAAGACCAGACATATTTGGCATGAGTTATAGCCGAGTACAGTGGAAATCCGTTTAGGGCTCTAAATATGACTTCAATGCATTGATTTATGCATGTATCTTTAGTGTTCTTCAAAGTAAGAACCACGAGGTTTCATGGGAACAGTTGACGCACACAAAAAGCAGGATTATTTTATGGTGGAGATACACAGCAGCCAAAAGACGAGTTATTGCTGAAAGTTTATGCGCTGTGGAGAGCATAAGCGATTGTGCAGTTCTCTATATGCATAGGTTACCTGTAGAAAGCCTGCGTTGATGAAGAGCACACATTCCGCTGAAACACGTGCATGCTTCTGCTCGTCCTCTCTGAGGTGGCGGTGGTATCGAGCACTGGGGTTTCAGGAACCCTACGGGAAAAACACATGAGAATGGACTTTTACTACATGTATCATAATGATTCATAATGACAAAGTTAATTCATCAATATAATTGCAATGTTGTAATTAATGTAATATTAATAAATAACTTTAATTTGCACAAAACCAATGCAACATGAAATAACTAGAGCGTAACATTTCACAATATTATGTTAAATAATATTATATATTATAAACACACACATAAATATTTCTTAAATATATACATGTATGTGTGTGTATTTATATACAGGTGCATCTCAATAAATTAGAATGTCGTGGAAAAGTTCATTTATTTCAGTAATTCAACTCAAATTGTGAAACTCGTGTATTAAATAAATTCAATGCACACAGACTTTAGTAGTTTAAGTCTTTGGTTCTTTTAATTGTGATGATTTTGGCTCACATTTAACAAAAACCCACCAATTCACTATCTCAACAAATTAGAATACTTCATAAGACCAATAACTTAAATATATACATGCACGTGTGTGTATTTATATATACATAATACATATACACAGTAAACAAACATACATTATGTAAACAAAAACCTTTATTTTGAATTTGATTAATCGTGATTAATCGTTTGACAGCACTAATATATATCCTATCATTTATTTACCAGACTGATCTGGTTCTCGAGTCAACTCACTGACTCAATTGTCCAGTTTCAGAAATGGTTTGGAGTTACTTTAAATCCTTTAAAACCTTAAAAAAGTGAACAAACCATAAAAATGTCCACATAATATTTGAAATAATGTTTAAACCAATCATAAAACTGAGAGAGCAAAATAAGACCACTCTATGCTAGCAGACAGACTGACATTTGAAGATCTAACTTTTGCTATAGTCTACTTTCACAAGTCAGCTGAGGATGCGTGATGACTCACAGAGCCAATGAGAGACAGGATGAGCGAGCTTGCGCTGAATGTGCACCGAATGATCTTAAAAAGCTCGTAGACCTTTCGGATCGGAGCGAACGTGAAGAGCAGCCGCATCCCCCCACTCTGGTCCCTGCTCAATAAAGCGTCTTTACTTCCACCATGAAAAACATGTCATTCCAGATGAGCTCAGCCAATGACATTTAAAACAGGCACAGGGATATTGAATTAGTTCCCCAGGATAAGCTGGCTGGGATGCTGATGCTCTGGTCAAAGAGGGGGGGAAGGGACAGGAAACGGACGGATGAACTGCCTGTTAGGTGCCTGCAGCAGATGTTTGATTAAAATGACAAAAACATGGAAATGTCAGAGAGAGATGAGAAACCTTAAAAATTATACCAAGGCAAGGTAATACAGACAATGTGAGAGAAAAGAACTGTGAAAACAGCTGGAAAAAGTCATGAACAGCAACAAGCAAACTTTTACTTTGGCCAAAAAATAACCCAAAGAACTACAATTCACAAACAAACAAACAAACAAATAAATAGTAGACTTGTGTTCCATATTCCTAAAGGCTTGTGCACACCGGGACAATTAATTAAATTACCGCAATTAAAATCAATTACCGCGATTATCGCCGACGTTTAACGCCTCGTGACTAAACAAAGAGCACCAATGTGAATGTGCACACCAACGTGCAAAGCGGCAGGCGTAAAAGCGTCATTTAAAAAAAAATGCCTCGGGCTCGTTTTTTTGGTTTGACGCGCCACGTTAAAAACTGGCTGACCAATGAGATTGGTGCTTTTGTTCACGTGCCTGGAGCTGCTGAAGTTACAGTAAAACACGACTTGGTGGTCGCGATTAATCAATTTGACAGCACTAAAAAATTATTTACAAATGTAATATATAAAATATTAATATATTATAAATTACAGTTTAGATATAATTATATAAAAAAAATTTGCAAATGAATAAATAAATAATTGACATTTTAGGGTAAAACTTTGGTTGTGCTGTGCCTCTCTAATGTAAAAGATGCACTTCTGATTGGCCACTTCAATACCAGACTGGCAGACCTGTCAGAGCAGATGCTTATTTGCCCTTTATATTTGAAATGGATCTTTTAAAGCAGCAACATCATTTGACTCGTCCTGCCTCGCGTATTACCCCTCTATCTGCCACAGCTAGCCCTGGCCGACCCCTCACATTTCCAGTTTTGCCCTATTCTCTGACCCACAACTCCAGTGGTTGCCGGATATGCAAACCGGGGCTACAAAAAATGCTGGGGGAGTTAAGAAAGGAGCAGGGGTGAGATTGGAGGCGGATGACTCAGTATGGGCAAAAGGACAGATGATACAGGCAATGCCTGCAGGGGTCGGGGTAAGAAGCCATGCTGTGCATCTCAGGGGTTTTAGGCCATTCCTCACACTAGGACCTTTTCTCTGGTACAATGGGTTAACTGATATCATCACCCATGTGGGCGAGAGATCATAGGATTGTACCCGCAAGGGCTTTGCTGCCAATCAATACTGAAGACAATCTTAGGCTACGTCTAGACGACAACGGTGTAATCAAAAACAGAAAAGTTTTTCCCTTGCGTTTTTAAAAAGTTTCATGTATACACGACGTTTTCAAAACGATTCGCGTTTACACACACCCGCGAAAACGGACAGAAACGCTGTATTACGTATGCCAGGCCAGTAGTTGGCACTGTCACCTTGTTAGTAAACAGTACCTGTAGGAAAGTGACGATTATATGTTGTACAGGGTTTCCGCGGGGTCTTAAAAAGTCTTAAATTGTACAAGAAAGGCTTAATTATGATTTCAAGAGGTCTTAAATTTGGGGACGGAAATACCAGAATTGCGATATGGCTGAATGTGACGATTAAACTTCAAAAGGCTAACGTTATGATTTAATTGAATAAACACGAGCGCTGCACGTTCAAAGTCCGTTGCTGCGCTGCTTTGTGTTCTGCCATTATCGGGGAAACGGTTATATTTCTACCAAATGCTCCACCTGCAGAGAATGAATGAGTATTTTCAATAAAACTGTTGTTTTGTTTGTTTTGAGTTTAGACCAATGCGAAAATCAACCCATGTTTACAAAAATCTCGATAAGAGGGAGTTGTTATGGAGAGGAAATGCAGATCAAATAGGATTCGACGTGTACTGAGGTATTTCTGTTTTTCATTAAGCACCATCTAATGTCAGGGAGTGAATTTGCACGTTCACTCGGCTCATCGCCTGC